CACACAGTGGTTAAAAATCAACTTGTACAATATTTGGAAAATAATAAGATTATTATACCACAACAATCAGGTTTCCGTAAAAGGCATTCCTGTGAAAGCGCTTTGAACCTGGTCATTGCTAACTGGAAAGAAGACCTGAGCAGGTATTAACATATAATAGCTGTAATTCTTAGACTTAAAACGTGCCTTTGAGACGATCGGCCAAAAACTGTTACAAAAAAAGTTATTCAATATAGGCGTAAATGGTATCGAACTAAAGTGGTTTGAAAACTTCATTACGAATCGATATCAAAGAACTGATAAAAGAAGTGTATCTGTCGGACTTCCTCAAGGATCTGTGCTAGCTCCAATTTTGTTCAATATATGTATATATTAATGACATTGGCCCGTAGTCATAGTCAAAATAAAGTCGACTTTAAAGTTAGTTGCAGCTTTTTTGACAGATATCCCATTGAAAATTATGTCAAAAAGCTGCAACTAACTTTAAAGTCGACTTTATTTTGACAATGACTACGGGCCATTATTAATTGCATAAAGTATTGCGATATTAAGTTATTTGCTGTTGATATGTTGCTTATGCTAAGTGGAAAAAATATAGCTGAAATAGCCTCTAAATTGCAAGATGACTTAAATAAAGTATACGATTGGTTATGTTTGAACAGACTTAAATTGAAGGTCAATAAAACTAAGTTTATGGTGATATCAAGGCGAAATTTTGAGAACAGTCAGTTGCTAACTCTAAAGGCCCGTTCAAATAGAACTTTGGCGTTGCGCTGGCGTCGCTTCAACAGCTGACTATGAATACATGAATTCAAAAGCAGCCGTCCACATAGCCAAAATTCGGCAACGCTCACCCTAACACAAAGCAAAATGATGGCCAACTCTCAACTTTTCGCGTGCGTCGCTCGTCAGCTGTTGCAAATAAATGAAATTATGTGAAATATTTTTCCTTTTTAATCAAGTGCGGGCAAGAAATATAGTTTTTAATGCAATTATTTATATGAAATAATAATTTATCTGTCGTTTGTATGTTAATTTAGTGGCCCAAGCGTTCGCTCCCAAGCGTTCATTGTAGCAAGCATACTTTTAACGTGCGTTCTGTCAAATCAACGCCAACGCGAAAGTTCTATGTGGACCGGCCTTAAATATAAACAACGAAGCACTGGAAAAATTTAATACGAACACATTGATTATACTGTAGGCAAGATCGCAAAAAAATTATACTTTACGCAGAGAACCTGTAGAAGGTATAAGACGTTGGTATATAGATCTATAATCGAACCTCATTTTATTTATTGTCCAACTATTTTTTTCATAATGAGAGATAGTCAAATTTATAAATTGCAATAGCAACAGAACAGAGCCATGCGATTCATCCTTAGAAAACGTTCTGACACACCTATCAGAGACATTTTGGTCGAATTAAATTGGCTGAGTGTTAAACAAAAACTTTTTTACTACACAATGAAATTTATTAGGAACATTATAGATGGCAACTTGCCTGATTACTTAAAAAGCAACATAAAGTATGTCAATAATGTACACTCCAAAAATACTGCAAATAAAAATGATTTCAATCTACCTGCTTATAAAACGGAAGCAGATAAATGTAACTTGTATTATAAAGGATTAAGATGCTTTAGTGAATTACTAAATGATGTTAAATCAAGCAATATGAATGAATTTGAACAAAAATTGTATAATTATTGTAGGATCCTTCCTATTTAGTGATGCATGGGCAATCTTCCAGACTATCAATCGCAATGCATCCGAAAAGCACGCATCCGAAAAGCAGCCGAGGCTCATCACAAAACGCATCACTAGATCAAATCTGTGAATCGCTGTATAGATCAGTGTTGCCAAACATGGGCTTTTCCTACCAAAACTGTTAGTTTTTTTTTCATTTAGTAGGTTGGTATGCTTGTTTGGATTTTGGTAGGTTTCGGGACAATGAGTAATAGTTATTTGCGAAAAATAGAAAATATGTACGTATCTCCAAATATTTTAGCAACCTTTTTACACAAATATTTCACCGGCGCGTTCGTATAATGGCGGCCACAAACATGTAAATATACCTGATTCCTAAGTACAAACGTATTATTTATTATTGCCAATATGCAATACGGACATCCATATATCGTGACCTAAGGGTGAAAAGGTGCCAAGTCCATTTTCAGAAATTTTTCAGGAGAGACGAGAAATCGATGTAGTTTCGTATTACCTGTCATTCTGCATCAAAAACTAAACTTAAAAAAAATGGACTTGGCACCTTTCATCTTTAGGTAGCGATATAATTTATGGCGTACTTGGACCAAGATTCCAGAGAAGTCTGCCAATGGGCTCGTACTCAACTATATTTCAGGCGGAAGTCTTCCCAATCGAAGTCTGTGTTCGCGAATGTCATCGTAGAAGGAAAATGAGGCCAGAATAACTATTATGTCGGACATTCAGGCAGCGTTAGAGGCCTTAGAGTCTTTTAAAACGGCATCATGTAAACTCTTGAACCACCTGCGAGCCCACAATAGCGTCACGCATGAAGGGTTTGAAGGTAACGAAAGGGCTGACTGTCTCGCAAAGCGTGAAGCCCAAATGCGTTTGCATGGTCCCTAGCCTTTCTGTGGTACTTCTAAAGGATACACTGCAGACCTACTTAGAAGGTTGCTGGGAATAATCTCAAATTGCTGCCTACTGGCGGAAGTCAAAGGGAATAAGACAATAAGACAGCAGGAACTCCGAAAGACACCTTGAACTTAGAGCTTTTACTGGCAACCTGACAGCACACTGCAAGTTAACGTACGGTTTTAATTAAATGGGTCTTTCTGTGAGGTACTATAGGGTTTGGCGGCTGGTAAAAGAAATTCCAGAGTATATTCTATGTGCCTGTCCACGAAGCATGAATCGTAGACTGATACACCTTGGAGAACGATTGCCTTCTCCATCTAAAATTTGGAACATGGCCGCATCCAAAGTGCTGAGCTTTTTAAATAGCCTAAGGTTGGAGTGATTACAATTTTGATTTAGCACAATATACCTTCTTAGGTCGCAGCGCGGGTATCTTCGACGTAATAATAATAATATCGTCACTAGACACGAATAAACAGCTCGGGAAAACTCTTTGGGGAGTTCTGGGGAATACTGTTGCACTCGAAAATATAGTTGACCGCGGACATAAGTTTATGGGTCTTTCTTCGCTGTCAAAGAGGTTAACGCGGCTTTATTTGCCGTCACCTATGTTAAGAGTCTTTCTTCGCCGAAATTTTTTTACGCCTCTTTTTTCGCTATCAACTTTTGAGCTCGCGTCTTTATTCTAGTGACGATATGTATGTATGTGTAAAGAGACATATGTACATATGGATAAGTCTGTGCAGTAAAATGGATCATTATACGCATTTAATTTGTTTTTATTAATCTAGTTGTGTTTTAGTTTTACTAGTTTATGTTAATTATGTTATGTTATAAATTTGACATTGAAAACAAATATTAAAACTCAAAAAAATGTTTGCTAGGTTTTGGTTGGTTATGGTAGGAAAGTTTGGTAGGAAAAAAATTTGTCTGTGGCAACGCTGGTATAGATGCTTGCATAAGCGGTGGCTCAACCGCAGCCAAATAGTGCAATCATTGTAATGATTTGTTTTGGAAGTATGCCTCATTGTTTTTCACTGCTGTTGGTGTCCATATAAATGGCCTATACTTTATAATTTGTCTAGGCTTTAAATTATAGATCCTAAATATACATAAATATGTATATGCATATAAGTTTAAGCTAGGCTTAATTAAGCTGAAAGAATTAAATAAATCTTATATATAAAAATAAGTGCACGTTTTTGGTGTGACCTCATAACTTGAGAACGACTTCCCCGAATGCAACCAAATTTATGCGGCATATTCGGGCTATCATGCAGATGGTTTTCCTGAAGTTTGCTTGAATTCGGAAAAGGGGGGCGTGGCGCCTCTATTTTATATATAAAAATTAGTGAGTTAGCTTATAACTTGAGAACGGCTTCACCGAATTCAACGAAATTTATATAGCTTATTCGGGCCATGTTGTGTTGTAGGTTCAATAAAAACGTCTTTGTTCACTGATGCTTACAAGTCTAGATCTTTATTAGTAATGTTCGCCTAGAGATGACAGTCGCAATCGTACGCATACATACATGCATAGGGTTGCCAACGCTAGGCTAATACAGTCATCACATCTCCCTTCTTTGAGGAACTTAAATTCTACTACATGTTTTGTTTCAATAATCTATTCATTACTTTACAAAATCATTTGGGTCATCATTAGATCATTTAACATCAAAGTTTAGATAATCATTACATTGTTTAATATAATAATTTAGATAATCATTACATTGTTTGATATAATAATTCAGATAATCATTACATTGTTTAATATAATAATTCAGATTATCATAAAATTGTTTAATATGATTATTCAGATAATCATAACATTGTTTAATGTAATAATTTAGATAATCAATTAATTATTTCACATAATCTTTTAGGTAATCGGGTCGTTTAATCTCCCTACCCGCCCGTGTTCGCGTATCTGTGCTAGGAGCCGGTTCTGTCGATACATTTACTTTTCTAGCAGGCGAGCTAGCTCCTGTGTCTCTATCTGGAGGATCGCTTGCTTCAAATTGGGCCCTTTCGCTGTTAAAATCATTTACATTGGTATTTTGACCCTCATATAGTTCATCGTTTTTCCGATTGTCATCATAAGTCGGACCAGTCTATCTTATTTCCACTAGACAACTCCACCTCATACGATCTAGGTCTGTCGCAGATCTTAGTTATTCTAGCAGGAACTAACGGTTTATTCAAGTCTTTCCTTACGTAAACTTTGTCATTTATATTCAAAGGTCTTAAATTGTGGGCACTTCTATCATAATAGTCTTTTTGCCTAAGTTGTTTACTAATTAATTTCTCTTTAAATTCTCTATTCTGTCTTTCTCTTTCATAATTTATTTTATTAGGTAAAATTCCTCTGATTTTCCTACCGAACATGATTTCATTGGGAGACTTTAATCCCTCGCCTATCGGTGTATTTCTGTATTCTAACATTGCCAGATTTGGATCTTTACCTGGATCGTCATCCAGTTTGTTAAACATTCTTTTGATGGTGCCTATGTGCCTTTCAACCATTCCGTTTGATTGAGAATACTTTGCACTGGACGTTTTCCAGGTGAAGTTCCAATCTTTGGCAAACTTTAAGATTTCCACGCTGTTCAGTTGGGTGCCAGGATCTGAATATACAATGTACGGAATGCCATGTCTAGCAAATTGTGATTTTAATACGGCTAACACCGAACTACTAGACATGTCTCGCAATTTAGCAACTTCTACATACTTGCTGAAATAATCCACTATTAGCAAAAATTCTGAACAATGATAGTAAAATAAGTCTACACCTAACGTTTGCCATGGTCCATCCGGGACCTCCCTATTTATTAGAGTCTCTTTAACGTTAGCTTTTCTATATTTAGTGCAAATTGCGCAATTATCTACCATGTCTTCGATTTCTTTGCTCATGAAAGGCCAAAACAAAATTTCTCGAGCTCGTATTTACATTTTTCTTTTCCAAGATGATTAAAATGTATTAATTTTAACATTTCTTTTCTTAGGTTTTTAGGGACTACTATTCTGCTACCTTTGAATATTATGCCATCTATGATACTTAATTCATTTGAGTAGTTATAATATGGTTTTACAATGCTGTGAACCTGCCTCTTATTAGTGGGCCAACCTAGCCTTATGTTTTCCATTAACATTTGCATTTCACCGTCCGACTCTGTTTCTTTAACAAACTGATCTTTTTTATCTAGCGATATGGGAAAGGATTCCATAACTAAGCAAACTTGTGTTTCAATTTCTTTTTCTAGATCCAATTTTTCGTGGATACAGTAGGCTCTGGATAACGCATCTGCTAAGAACAACTCTTTACCAGGCTTGTATTTAACTGTGATGTTGTATCTTTGTAGTCTGAGCCTTATGCTTTGTAATCTTGCCGGACAGTCATTTATACACTTTTTAAATATTGCCTCTAGTGGCTTGTGATCTGTCTCAACTAAAATATCCTTGCCGTATATCTGTTGATCAAATTTTATGCAGCCAAACGCTATGGCAAGGGCTTCCTTTTCAATTTGAGCATACCTTTGCTCTGTTTGAGTTAATGCTTTGCTCGCATAAGCTACAGGTAAGCTGTTTTGCAACAATACCGCCCCTAGGCCATTTTTGGACGCATCAATACTTAACACTACTGGCTTTTGTACATCGTAATATTGTAGGACTGGTGCTTTGCATAGTAAATCTTTTAATTCTACAAAGGCTTGGTTCGCGTTCTCATCCCAATTCCACTGCACATTCTTCTTTGTTAATTCTCTTAACACAGCATTTTTTAGTCGCTAAACTAGGAATAAACCTTGATACGTATGTTATCATACCAAGAAAAGTTTCAAGCTCATTTTTATTTTTTGGGGGATTTCATATCAACAATTGACTTCACCCTGTCTATGTCAATTTTTATGCCTTGGTCAGTGAAAATATGACCCATGTACCTAACCTCTTTGCTACTCATTTTGCATTTATCTAGTTTAAATTTTACATTCCTATTTTCAGCTCTTTCTAGAACTTTTTCTAGTCTAGCATCATGTTCTTCATGGTCTTTGCCTCTGATCCTAACATCATCAATGTAAATGTCAACGCCCTCTATATCACCAAAGATTTCCTGGAAACACTCCTGAAATACTTCAGTGGCAGAATTAATGCCAAACGGCATTCTTAAGTATCTATATCTGCCAAATGGGGTGATAATTGTCATCATGTAACTACTTTTTTCTGTTAACCTGACTTGGTGAAATGCTTTGTTTGCATCAAGCACGCTAAAAAATTTTGCTTCCTGCTATGCTAGAACTCAATTCATCAAAGGTAGGTATTTTTCTATGCTGTCTTTTGATAGATTTGTTAAGCTCAGTTGGATCTATACAAATTCTGATCTGACCATTCTTTTTTTTGCTGATTACTATAGGGTGAACCCATTCAGTTGGCTCAGTAACTTTTTTCATTATGCCATCTTTTTCCATCTTATACAATTCTTCCTTCACTAAGTCATTTAGTGCAATTGGTATTTTCCTGCAGGCTGCAATGTTAGGTTTCGCATCGGTTTTTTAATTGAATGTCATATTTAAAATTAGTAATGCAACCCATGCCTTCAAATACTTTTTTATGTTTATTTAATATTTTGTCTATCGACGAACCATTATCATCTACCTTTATGTTGTGAACTCTTTGCACAATGTTGAGTTCTATTAGACTAGGTAAACCTATTATCACCGGCTGGTTATCAGTATTTTCGGTTACTATAAACTCTAAATCTGCCCTTTCTCTATTTGAAAATTTACAATTTAAACTACATTTGCCAATAACACTTGTACTCTGGCCACCATATGCAGTTAATTTTACATTCGTTTTAACAATCTTGGTACTTTTTAGTTTAGTACTTATTAATTTACTTATTGGCATGACGTTACATCTAGCACCTGAGTCTAGCTTTACCTCAATTTTGCAAAAATTATTTATTGTAATCTGTTCAGTCCAATCTAATTCGTTACTAGAGCTCTCCATGCTACCGGCATACAACGAATCTACTTTTTCATCGCGAGTCTCTGACTTTACTTTAATTTTGCACATTCTCGCAAAGTGATTTTTTCGTTTACAATCATTACATACTTTACCAAACGCTGGGCATTGGCGAAGTCCATGATGTCGTCCGCATTTCTGGCAAACCCGCTGCTGGTTGGACGAAGATGGCGACCACCTGCCAGCGCCACCACTTGCCTTGTTGTTGCCGCTATACGTCTTGCTGTTTTCGCCGCCCCCCGGTCTGCTTCCGCGAACTTCCGGTTGCCACGTGGTTCTCGACTTTTCTCTTTATCACGTGTATTTTCGAATCTTCACCAATCGTCTTCATTTGCATATCTGCCAGTTCTACTGCTCTGCATATCTGTATGCATTTATCCAGATCTAGGTTCTCTTCTCGCAGTAAACGGTTCCTCAGTTCGGAGTCGCGAATTCCACAGACTACTCTGTTTTTTATTAGGCTATCTTTGAGGTGACCAAAACCACATGTGGCACTTAGCGTTTTTAGGTCTGTTAAGTAATTCGTAAAATTTTCACCGCTTTGTTGCGCGCGCGTGAAAAACACGTGTCTCTCCACTGTCTCGTTTGCTTTCGGGGAGCAGAAATCCTCAAATGCTTTTATCACTGCATTGAGTTTCTTGTCATCCGCCTCACTTAGTCCAAAGGTGTTATATTTTTCGAGTGCCTCGTCCCCGATTACGTGCAGAAACACAGCTACCTTGCGGTCTTCCTCTTTCTTGTCCAGCTCCGTGGCTTTCATGTAAAGGTCGAACTTCTGTTTCCACTTCTTCCATTTTTCCTTTGTGTTGCCGTCGAATGTCAACGGTGGTGGTGTCTTCATCGAAGTTTCCATTATTTCAGGGTTTTTTCTTCTCTTTAATCTTAGTCGGAGCAGTAAATCTACGTGCCAACGTTTATTTGTTTGCGACTTTTCACCAAACACGTGTTCGAGCAGATTTTTGGAACTCGCTTTGCGTTTTTTGCTTAGCCCTGCTGGCTTTCAATACACGCCGTTGAACTGTTTTTCGTAAGAGTCTATATTAATTTCTGAACCAGCGATACTCAAAAGGGGTAGTTGAAATTAAACTACCGGCTGCGCCATGTTGTGTTGTAGGTTCAATAAAAACGTCTTTGTTCACTGATGCTTACAAGTCTAGATCTTTATTAGTAATGTTCGCCTAGAGATGACAGTCGCAATCGTACGCATACATACATGCATAGGGTTGCCAACGCTAGGCTAATACAGTCATCACAGGCCATCATGCAGATATTTTATGTGGAGTTTGCCCAAATTGGGAAAAGGGGGCGTCGCATATGTATCTTATGTATAAAAATATGTACACGTTTTTGGTGTGAGCTTATAACTTGAGAACGGCTTCACCGAATTCAACCAAATTTATGCGGCATATTCGGGCTATCATGCAGATGGTTTACGTGAAGTTTGCTTGAATTCGGAAAAGGGGGCGTGGCGCCTCTATTTTATATATAAAAATTAGTGCGTTAGCTTATAACTTGAGAACGGCTTCACCGAATTCAACGAAATTTATATAGCTTATTCGGGCCATCATGCAGATATTTTATGTGGAGTTTGCCCAAATTGGGAAAAGGGGGCGTGGCATATGTATCTTATGTATAAAAATATGTACACGTTTTTGGTGTGAGCTTATAACTTGAGAACGGCTTCACCGAATTCAACCAAATTTTTACGGCATATTCAGGCTATCATGCAGATGGTTTATGTGAAGTTTGCCCGGATTCGTAAAAGGGGGTGTGGCACCTCCCATACTAACTAAAATTTGTATGTTGTATATCTCTTGAAATATTTGTGGTAGAGTACTGGAAGTTGGTATAGAGGTATATCAAATAATTCCATACTCATGGAGAAAAATGGCGGCATTGGAAAAGAGGGCGTGGCACCTCCCATCTTATATATAAAAAATAAGTACAAGATTTCAACCAAATTTATACGGCATAGTCGGGCTATTATGCAGATGGTTTGTGTTAAGTTTCCCCGAATTCGGAAAAGGGGGCGTGGCACCACCCATACTAACAAAAATTTTCATCTGGTATATCTCTTGAAATATTTGTACATAGTAGATTACTGGAAATTGGTATAGAGACATATGAAATAATTCCATACTCATGGAGAAAAATGTGCGGTATTGGGAAAGGGGGGCGTGGCACCTCCCATCTTAATTAAAAAAATAAGTGCACGAATTCTACCAAATTTAAACGGTATATTCGGACTATCATGCAGATGGGTTATGTGAAGTGGGCCCGAAGTCGGTCCAGCGGTTCATGATATATGACAGTTTATGTCTGTTACATGAACCACGTATATGGTACAACAGCACATACATGAAAAATCGAAAACATAGTGAAAAATTGTTGCTATAATGTGCTGTGTTTATTTTTTCTTCGGATAAATTAAGTCAAGTATAAACATGGCTGCAAGTTTTTCAATAGGGATTTTGTAGAGCCAATGGAATGAAAGTCACCACAATACAACATATCTGTCATTTCATCGTATTATCGAAAAGGTGGTACATTAATATTCGGTCTTTCTATTTTGGACTTTGGAGAATCAACACGTGTGTTGAATATAGTTCTTAATTCATATTTCATTTTATTTTTTTTCGTCAATTTCAATATTTTTGTACAAATTTGTTGCAGCGTTTCGTACGAAAAGTTTGAGTACACTGGAAATTTTCCATGCAGGTATTTCTCCTCATTGATTTATAGTGAACAAAACCATTGTGGAAAATTGTGGCTGTGTTGTGTTCTTTGGCTTCAAATGAAGTTTTTTCAAGTGCTCTTTTACTGTCGATTGTGAATTTCATTTGATTATTTAAAAAAAGTGCGTTTACAATACGATTTATCGAATTCATTCCTATGCATTGAGTTTTTCGTTCGCTATTGAATAAAATGCCACGATCCCGTCGTTCAAATATAGGCCGACGTACACGTCTTGGGAACATGATGTTAACGCAAAGAAGATCTCAAAATGTTGAGGAGCACTCCCAACAAAAGGAAGTACGGCGTGCAGGATTTTTCATTAATTTTTCAATATATAATAAATTTATTGGGAGTATGAATCAATTGGGAATAATTTTCTCCTATATTTCATAATCGATTCGAATGGGTGCTGCTTTTTTTGGAAAGGTGTTTAGAAGAAAGGGTGCACAAAGTTTTAATTTTTCCGATAGGTGGCGCAGAGCTACGCTAAAAAAAATTCATTTCGTTCGTTGGCAGCCTTTTGCCTAGATTGGCATATAGATCAATTTTTTCCTTTAGATGGGCCAGGGACCGATCTATTCGAAAAAGTCTTATTTATGGTCCGATTTGCTTGAAATTTGGCTCGTAGGTAGCTTATTGGCTGGGTTAACATATATGATATTTTTTCTGATGAGTGGACCAGATACCGATATTCCAAAAAATCTTAATTGTGGTCCGATTTGCTTGAAATTCGATACCCGTATTATAGATATGCGTAGAATAGAATCGAGTCATTGGCGCATATTCATAGTCATATTTAGTACTCAACTAAGTCAAAACTATTCTAAGTCACAACTAAAGCTATTCATAGTCGCCTTAGTTTCGACTTTTCTGGCTAAGTACCGACTTAAATTTAGTTTCGGCTGCAGCTGCAACTAAGTCGTAACTAGGAAGAAGTATTTTGACGTAAAATACGTCTTACCTTACGATATGGAGGCTATGCTAAAATGTTGTAATTGTAATTTTTAGAGCTTCCCGAAAACGCTTATTGCATGAGCACTAATGAAGCGATTTCAAAGAATAGTATGCCATTACAAAGACAAAATTCCAAACCTATCGACAGATATAGTTATGTAAGTAACCAATTTAATCTCTGTCGTTAAACCAACGGTAAACATTGCCTTATTTTGGGGTCAATTTTGAGCCTTTAAAGTGCTCTAGCAACTTATGGTTGGCAGATATAACTTTCATTTTCGGGATATAGGTTCTTTGAAGCAGTAGACATATTATCGTGTACAAATTTTACATAAATTCAACAAATATTGAGCTTTTTAAGCCAAAAAACTTGCAAATTTTTTTCATTACCAAAATGCTCGAAAACCGATCGAATGATTTTGTTTTTGTTTTCTTTAATCAAAAATTCAAGAGTTTTTCTTTCGTTTGGTATATGGGAAGTATTGGTTGATATCTTCTAAGTGTGTTTATTTTATATGGGCATAAATAATTTTCCATACAAAATCACTTCGTCATCATTTTGCAAACACGTGCATGCGTTGGAAGTGAGGGAAGGAGAAAAAAAAGTATGTATGTGTGCGTTAGTACATATTTCGGCTTTTGATAAACAAATTGAGCAATATTTATAACCTAATCACAGCGTATGTATATATATATGTTGATTGCAGTTAATGTGGATCTGTTTCTATTTTTTAGTAAACTGTGTATGTCTATACATATTATATACATATGTACATACATATATGTATGAACACATGTATGCATAATACGCGAAAACTTTTTGAAGTGGAACAACACTTAAAAAAAGACCAATCCAAGAATAAAAGTAAAGGTGAGTACGTACATAGATAAAGAAAAGAATAAAGGCAAAGGTAAAAATAAAAACAAAAACAAAGTTGCGCAAAGATAAAGGCAAAAATGAAGACGAAGATAAATTTAAACACTTTATTTATATAAGGGCAAAGGTGAAGGGGAATATGTATATAAAGAATATGATAAACAAAAATAAGAACAAAGA